CTTCCAGAGAACCCCACCCTAGACCGATGTGAACCGAGCCAGAGGACATGGGAGGGAGGGGGCAGATAGGTCAATATTGAGTCCTCCGTTTGCTAAAGTACAATAACACATCGTAAAGACTTCTGACCAAGACAATTCATAGCTCCAGACGTTTACCATCCATTATCTTATTATTTTTTATTATATTGTCAATTATTCTAAATAATAGACGCGGTTTGATGTTGTGCAATCTATTTCCTTCTTTCTCTGCTGTAATTTGCCAACAATGACACTATATCCCCACTTGAAGGAGTAAAGGAATATCTTATCTTATCTATACTCTGTCAGGATAGGAGCCAGTCTCTGTGCTGTTACTTCCCCCTGTGTGTGTTCTTGGAGTCTGAAATCGTAGGGAGAGAAATAAAAGCAGTAATAAGTTAAACTGGGGCCAAGCTGCAATATATCTATACAAAAAGCTTCCAGATTGTCCAAAATAGGCAAGGCAAGGTAAGTTTATTGTATAGCTCAATTCATAAACAAGTCCACTCAACATTCTGAAAACAACAAGATAAGAGACAAGTCAAATAAGGCATAAAGTTAAAATCCCTCAGTGTGGACACAGCTAAACAAAACAGTCTATAACCTGGATTGAACTTGTCAGAGAACCGTCTCACATTTTCATAAGGTCCATTCAGATTTTGGCTGCGTCAATCTGAAATTAATGCCCCCCCCATGCGTTGTTCCTACTCTGGACCAGCAGAGGCCGGTCCCTTTGCTCCTCAGAGTCCCAGCAGGAGGCCACAGTTGGTCGTATGGCACTACATGTCACAAATGTAATAGGTCAGGAGAGACTTGTAATAAAAAAAACAAGCAGAGCTGTTTTAAAGTCTATTCTCTGAGCCACAGGAAGCAGTGCAGCAGACTCTGAGACCTGGACTAATGTGGTCGTACTTCCCTGGTCTACAAACTAATGTGGTCGTACTTCCTGTCTAGTCAGGACTCGAGCTGCTGCATTTTGAATGTACTGCAGCTGTTTTACAGCCTGTTTGGACAGACCGTGGCAGAGCCATTGCAGTATCTAACCTACTGGAGACAAATGCATGGATAAATTTCCAAGTCTGCTAACACAATGTTTTTTTTTTTTTATGTGTACAAAGCTGGTCCAATCTCAAGAAAGTACTTCCCTGTCTTCAAGTTACAATCTTAACCAACTTAGAGCGGTGCCAGCGACACCAACCAGTTCTCTATCTCTGTATAAGGTTGTCAAAGGCAGCACTCAGATCTGAGACTTTTCATGCGTCAGTGTTCAGCCGAAGAGTTTTGAAACATGTCTATGGTCTGTGATGGGGTTCTAAAGCCGACTGGAAGGTATCAAAATAATTGTTGATAATAAGAATTGGTAAGTCGGCTGGAGACAAATTGCAGACAAAATTTTCATCCAGCGCACGTTTTGCAGGGCCTGATGACTGCATTTTTTCAGGGCCTTTGGGAATGTTCCAGAATGAAGGACATTTTACTATCTGCGGTGAAAGTGAGGTAACAAACTCTCAGAACGACTGTGGAAATCTAGTGGGTAGAAAATCCAGGCTGTGGGAGTGCTCAATTTGTGATGTTGGATTGTTATGTGTGTTTGGAGACAATGGCGTTTTTTTAGTCTGGAACCTTGGAATATTTAGTAATCTTTATTTAACTACGCCTGTTTCACTGCAGATTTAGTCTCAAAAGCGGTTTACAATTGTTAATTTTTGCATTTTCTCCACTCCACACAGAGATGGGAGCGGGGTCCCCATTACAGAGGCCGCATGCCAGAACATATGGACGTGGACATGGAGCTTTCGCTACGAAAGTTCACGGTAGGTAGACCCGCGGCGGCTGCCCAGGCCACAGGCTGCTCTTTCCTCGACTCATCAATTACCACAACGCCCACATCCAGCCAACCAATAAACCACCAGACAGCAAGTTAAAAGCCGAACGCCCACTTCCCCCTTCCGAAGTCTGCAGAGTTCCTCTGCAGCTCTGGCTAACATGCGCGGTCAGCTCGCTCAAAGTTTTCCCTGCTGCAGCGCGGCGTGGGTGTAATAAGCATCATCTCATATTCCCCAGCTCGCTCAAAAGATTTCCCCGGATGCAGCGTCGGCTGAACATGCGCGTGCGCCAATGTTCTCACTCGCTCAAAGATTCCCCTAATTCAGCGTCTGCGAAATGCAAAAAAAAAAAAAAAAAAGCACGCTCACAGTCTCATCTCGCTCTGCTAAACAAACCAACAAACGCAGTCTGGCTGAGCGACCGTGCAGAAGCCTCTCACTCAATCTCTCAGGCCCGCGCAGTGCGTCCTGCTATACCCAACGCAGCCCGCTTTGTGGGGGATTATGCACGCGAGCAAGCGCCGTGCCAACAGCATCCCTCCCGGGCCTAGGCGCCAAACATGCTTAGAATCATAAAACATCTTGATCGAATAATCTAACGGCATTTTTCCTCATGGTCTCTCCAAGTGAATGGACTTCGCGAAAGTTCACTGGGTAGACCCGGCTGCTGCTGTCCCGCCACAGGCTGCTCTTCCGCACTCATCAATACCAGCAACGCCCACATCCAGCCAACCATAACCCCCAGACAGCAATAAAAGCCGGAACGCCCAATTTCCCGGCCTTCCGAAGTCTGCAACCTCCCCGCCCCACCTCCTCCTTCTCTCATGAAGCGTGCTTCCTACTGCCTCTGCCGTCATCCAGGGCCTAGGCCCCGGGGGATTATGCACGCGAGCAAGCGCCGTGCTCACAGCATCCCTCCCCGGCCTAGGGCGCCAACTTGCTTATATCATAAAACATCTTGTATCTAATAATCTAACGGCATTTTCCGCATTGGTCTCTCCAACGTGAATATTTTTAGTGGTAGGGAAACGGAGTACCCGAGGAAACCTACGCAGACACGGGGAGAGAACAGCAAACTCCACTCAGAAAGGCCCTGTTCGAACTCAACCTTCTTGCTGAAGGCAGAGTGGCTACACTCAGCCACCTGCCGCCCCTTGTCATGGAAAATACACATTACATCTAGATTTGGAGATAGCTCTAATGCAGCTGAACAGGGTTTGCGAATACTATAGAGTAGAAAACAGAACTCGTAGATTGTTACTGCAGTCTTATATGTATTTCAGTAAAAATCTATACACCAGAGTGGCGGCCCTTGAGGGGGGGGGGTACTGTTAGGGATCTGGTTGTTCTGCTCCCCCTCCCTTTTTGTTTTCTCTGCAGGGTGTGTGTGACAGGGGGCGTGGCTGGTTCATCTTCCAGCAGGAGGCACACCTGCATCAACTCATCATCAGCAGTGTTCAAGAGCCTGGCTTCCACTCCACTTCGCTGCCAGATTATTCTATGTCTCATGTTTGCCTTTTTGACCTGCCAGCCTGCCTCCTGTCTTCACCGCCCAACCTTTTTTTTGTAAAATAAACTTTACTTTTTTCTGGAGCTACTCTCAGTGTCAGAGTCTGCTTTGGGGTCCAATATACAAACCCTAACATCCTGGCCTTAAATGTTGATATAAAATAAGTAATTTTATTCATTCTAATATTACAGTTAAGTCCCGCCTTCCCTGCTCTTAGCTATAGCTCAGAATCCACGATGCCGTCGAGGTTAACCAATCAAGTCATGCCAAGGGCTGTCAATCATCGGCGCTAATGCTCGCAGCTGCGCGCATGCTCAGTGGTTTGTTTTTGCAGAACCTCTGAATCAAGCCTCTATTAGGCTCCGGAACTTCATGAAAACTGAACAAAGAATTCTGAACATCTGCGCTGAGGTACTCATTTATATACTGAACCTATATCCATAATCAGATCCTCTGCAGATGTGTCCTATAATGTGCAATTCATGATAACAGCTTCTTCCGGGTTTGCCGCGATCGCTTTTTTTGTGCATAAAAACATTATTTTTTTCATTAAAACGTTAACAAATAATTCTGAAAACCTCCGTACATGTGTATTAATAATGTATATGTATAATGTGTTCTCTGATTAACATTTAAGTGTTACGAAAACGTAGGCATTGACCAATCAGAAAGGAAGGGGGAGGGAGCTTGCGTCATTTTTTTTCCAGACAATCACTTTAAGTACTTTGGTCACTCGTTGCTTGTTGGTGATCCCTTCACTTGTGGGAAGGGATTCTCAAACAAATAAATATACACACAACAACTTAAGTACAAGCACAAAACAGAATGGCAACACGTGAATACAGCAGATAATACGAGATATAGCATGGGAAGGAAGTTTGCTTATTAGCTTGCTATCGATAGCTAAATGTAGCTAAATGCTCGCTCACTGTGTACAACAGATGATCAAACTTTTACACGAGTAAATACATTTCAGTGAGCGCTTTGGGCCAACGGGATACGAAACTAACCAGTTATTTCCAGGACAACCACAGACTAGTCACAAATCCAGAGCGATCTCCATGAAAACCTTGTGAAACCTCTGTGTTGTTTGTTCGAGCTCCCTTTGAATTCTTTCTTTCGACCTGAAGAGAGTAAGGTGTGGACCTCGTCCACCAACCAGGACGTTGACTTTTGGGTATTTCTGTGCGATTCCATTTCTCTGGAGTGAGGAGGACGTGTTGTAGCCATAGCAGAGCAGGCGGTTTTAAAGATGGCGGGGTTCAGTTGTTTTTACCGTAGGGTCGGACGTCGCGTCCAGTGACGACACTCGTTGACCAATCAGTGTAAGGCAGTCGGCTGACGTCAGATCATGGTGTAGCTTTGGCCCGGCTGGAACCACTGTCGAGGTGGTTAAAAAAGTAAGCAAAATCTGGCTCCAACCCTGGTGGAAATGCAAAAGTACCACGCCTTGCCGTGCCGTACCATATCGTACTGTTACTGTGGAAAAGCAGCATTGGTCATCTAATTTCAGTTGAATCATGAAGGAGAAACAAGTACTTCCCAAACATTCCCAAATGCAACGTCCTTTTTGTCAAATTATTGAATTTAATATAATTTATATTATTTGCAGATTGTGGGGGTTCCCTGTTATAGTAAGGGAACAGTCAGGACTTACTGTATCCCGGAGTCATAGGAGGAGAAGCCCAAAGGTCGGCTGTGAAAACAAAGCCTTCATCTTGAGAACGGCATGTGACACTCCCCTGTGGAGGACAGAACACAGCAGCTCAGACCAGGAACACATCCATGTTTCATCTGCGAGGTTCAATGAGAAAAGAACTTTGAAGATTCATAGGCTACAGGAACTACTAGTCGTAGTAACTACTATTAGTAGTAGTTACTACGACTACTACTACTAATACGGCTCAGCACTATTATCAAACAAAGTGCTCAATTTCAAAATGTGAGCGCTTTAAAATAGATTTCTGCAGTAATATGAAACCAGCGAATAGGCCTCCCCAAAACTATGTATTCTTGGCTTGCATCAACTTCCCGTTAATGAAGTGGTGGTCAGGCCAGCAAAAAATGCTGCTGATGTGTCTTTGTTCTGTCTCTACCATCGACAATAAAATATGTCTTCTGTCTGACTTAAAGACACGACCCTAGACTGTCATTTTCTTCACTTTAGATTCTAATTCTCGAGATCCATATATCGAAAATGTCAAATTGTGTAACAGTATAGATCATAGTGCATTATCCAAGAATGATTTGATTTGCGAGTTATAAAAATACCCGCCAGTTAGTGTTACAATCAAGCTTTTATGACTTTTATATGTAATGAGGCGGACGTGACGTCAATTGCAAGGAAGCAATTGGCTCGACCTAATAATATGAAACAGGGGAATAACAATAGGCCTCCCCGATACTACATATTGGCTTGGCCTAATAATAATAATATGAAACCGAGAAATAACAATAATAAATATGAAACAGTGCAAGTGATGAAACTTGGTCAAAAGGGGAGTAAAAATGACATGGAGCGCAGTCAGTGTAAATGGAAAAGTAGATCCAGGGTTTTTGGTCAATGCGAAACACTTTTAAAGTAGTACTAGAATTAATATGCTGCTATCCAGAATATATAACTACAATATGTGTTTATAATATTTCGGGTGTTCATTTTGATATGTTCAGATGAATTATGTTAAAAAAACAGCTTTGAAGTCGGACCTTTTCACAAATGCTAGGGGGAGCCAAAATGGCGGCGATGACGTAGGAGAAGGGCATCTCACAGCAGCAGCAGCAGTCTGGGCTGAATCTGTAGGAGGTTTCACTGTCATCTGAACAAGGTATAAACATATTTTCATCCGTTTTGTACATAATAGTGTGCAACTCTTTTAACCTTTTAGCCTTATTTGTGAGATTCAAGCAAACTAGTGTTGGGCAAGTTAGCTAACTCTACTTGATATAACATGCTAACAAGGCTAATATTCGTTTTCACATTATGCCAGTCTCACTTTGGTTGCCTTAGATTTATTTACCACAATGTACATTGTAATATCCATAAATGCTAATCAAAATAACTTGAATTAAATAAATATTTTACTTTTATGAACAAAAAGCTGCAGAAGTTGAAAACATAGACTACATGTGATGCAATCATTGATAAAAATGCTAATTAAACCGTTAATACGTGTTAGCATTTTTGAATATTACAATGTACATTGTGGTAAATAAATCTAAGGCAACCAAAGTGAGACTGGCATAATGTGAAAACGAATATTAGCCTTGTTAGCATGTTTTATGATATCAAGTAGAGTTAGCTAACTTGGCCAACACTAATTAGCTTGAATCTCACAAATAAGGCTAAAAGGTTAAAAGAGTTGTGCACTATTATGTACAAAACGGATGAAAATATGTTTATACCTTGTTCAGATGACAGTGAAACCTCCTACAGATTCAGCCCAGACTGCTGCTGTGAGATGCCCTTCTCCTACGGTCAGCACTAGATCATATACGGAATCGGGACGGAAGCGGAAGTAAAAATAACAAACTACCTATTCATGCCTAAACATAACCAGCCATTCCCATAACATAACCCCAACCCAGCCTTAACCCTAAACTTAACCATCTTACTTAAACACCTAAAACTTAACCAGTCACCATTTAAGGACGAATTAGTTTATTAAATTAATTTGAAAGTAGGATTGTTACTTCCGGTTTCGTCCCGATTCCGTATATCAGCCATTCCCAAACTCAGTAACACCGAGGCCCCCTTAAAAATCTGACGGGTCTGCGTGGCCCCCCAAAATAATAACCAAGAAGACAACATTAAGAATAGGCTCTTCTGGTTATTTTATTTTGGGGAAATAGCCTCTGCTACAAACATTGTAATACAAAAATGATTACAGTGGATTATTCAAGTCAAATAATGAACACAAATATTTTAATATTACAAACAAAACATTATAAATTTAACATTAAATAATTATATTATTTTTTTATTTTTTTTATGACCTCCCGCGGCCCCCCTGCAGTACCCTCGCGGCCCACCAGGGGGCCGCGGACCCCACTTTGGGAGACACTGCCGTATATGATCTAGTGCCGACCCTTCTCCTACGTCGTCGCCGCCATTTTGGCCCCCCCTAGCGTTTCTATGCGGAAGTGAAAAGGTGCCACTTCAGAGCAGTTTTTTTTAACATAATCCATCTGAACATGTCAAAATGAACACCCGAAATATTTTAAACACATATTGTAGTTATATTGTAACAATTTGCCTTTTAAAACCCTTTTAAAGCGTTGTAGCTCTGGTGTCTTGAAAAGGTAGGCAAATTGTTACAGACTACAGAATGTCACCCCTCCTGAGTGAACACCAAGGTAAGGACCTATGCGGGCGTTACAATATATTCTGGATAGCAGCATATTAAATTCTAGTACTACTTTAATGTTTTATCGAGAACATCCTGCGATCCAGTTTTGTCACTGACCTGTCACCAGAAAGTGTATGAGAGCATAAGTTAATGGTCAAAACAGCTTAAATATGGTTTAGGGAAAAAGTATAGACCTAGGTTAAATAGGCAACAACACATTGTTTTAATAACATTGTAACACAGCCTAGTTAGCATGTAACTTGAGAAGCCTGTTGTGTACTTTTCACCCTCGCTAAAGCAGTGTTCCCCAACCCTTTTGAGCCTTTTACATTAAAAATCATCACACATGGAACACCACCACCTGATACAAACTCTGCAGCCTTTGTAAACAATACACGGTTTCATCAAACTGTTTAATATAGAATCAAAGTCTCCTCACAATCTTCTCACAATCAGTCAAATTGAATAATTTCCAAAGGCACACTAAACAACAATTCAAGGCTCACTAAAGTGTAACACACTGGTGGAAAAACACACACACGCACGCACACAGACATAGACACACAAAAACACAAAAATACACCACACACAGACAGACGAGCCCAGACTCGCACAGTTCTGAGACACACTGCATAGAGTGTTCCGGGACTCGGTAGGTTTCTCTGGAAGAACAGAAACATAGACAAAGACAGAGATACCACATACTGCTTTCTGTTCTCCCCCTGTTTTCAATCTGCTCTTACCGGGTGTTCACGGTCCACTTCCCGCTGGAGTTCCAGTCCTTCACAGTATGGGTTTGCGACGTGGCTTGCGGCAGAGCGCAAAGAAGCCGTGTGAGAGGGAGCGGGCGGGCCCAGAGGAGGGGTGGGCCTCTAGTGTGGGGGCAGATAATATACACTGAGTCGTGAAGACCAGCTGGATTGAGTCCTGTTACCTGCGCACAATGCATTCTTGTGCACAGGAAACTCGAGCAGTGCCGCAGACTATCTGTATGACAGCTGAACTGGGATCTGTTACATTTATTATAATATAGAGCTATTTGCATGAGCCTTAACGTCAAGTCAGACTGATTATATTAGCAGTACATATATACAGTTTATATTAACCCTAACCCTAATGTCTATAGATTCTGGCCCATCCTTTGGCAATGTCTTGGTTGGAATAGCCTACTACCCACACTAGCAACACTGTAAGGAATCATGGAGTAATTATTTATCAAGGACTACTCTCCTTTAGCCTGGTTTTACCATACCCTCGTACTTGTTTCGTACATCCCGGGAAAAAAGATTTGACCGGAGTTTACGGATGGCAAAGGCCAGGCTAACTCTCCTTCAGACCACATATAAAACAAGCAACTAAAACAGCTTATTTCCATCAGTGCAACGTTAGTAAAATTCTTCCTAAAAGTGATTCAATAACTGGGTTTCTGTGGAGTATAGAGTCAAAGTAAAAAATCCCTCTGTTAACATACAAGGCTATAAATGGTATGCTCCCTCTTACCTCCAAGACACGATAGTGTCAAACCAACCAAGCCCTTCACTGCGCTCACAAAACACCAGACTTCTGGTGGTTCCTAAAGTGTCAAAAAGTGCAGTCGGCATAAGAGCATTTCCAAGCTCCTTTACTGTGAAATCAGGATAGAGGCAGATGTACTCTCTACTATTAAGGGGAGTAACAGCATTAATTCAATTCAATTAATTCAGAATTAATTAACTCATTATTTGTCACACATTTTTTCCTTTACTACATGTTCGTTGATTTGGGTTCTGTCCTCGGGATGGACGTTCCATAATCTCCAGTGAGCATGACTGCTGTCATTTTGTGATTTTTAGTTACGCTGCACATGTAGACCATAGACTGTAAATATTAACGGACGTTGTCACGCGTATCTCAACCATAGAAACTAATGTGCCATCACATTTTGGCTTCTATGGGGCTTTTTTAAAAATGGCAGCTGGCGGCCCCTTCCTTAGAAAAATGTGACAAAACGCATTTTCACATTATGGTGCTTTCAGACCGCTACGCTGAAACGCACATTCTCCAGTTTTCAGACGTAGGTGTCTTCAGACCAGAAGTCCTGGCGCTCTCCGGAATTGGCGGAAGTAGCTGGCGGGCTTTGATGCTAACAGAGTTTAGCTAGTGGCTTCTTGTGGCTGCACGAGCGTCCCGAGGAAAGGTTGAGCAAAATTCATCTCCTGCGTGCGTAGATTTTCCGCTGCTCCTCCCCTTCGACTTTCCCACGCAGTCCGTGTGTGCATTCCGAGTTGCTTGTGCGTTTTTTACGCTCGAATGCGCATCACCACTGACTTTGCACTGAATGAAAGTCAAGAGGTTCCTCCTCGTAACAGGCTCATTACTCTCCATCTTTTACAGATGCGTACAGAATAGCTCAGCTCAATAACCTACACACGTCAGTTGTATTGGTGCTTTCAGACCGCCAACACTGAAACGCGGAAGCCCCTCTCACCAGACGTGCATTCTCTAGTTTTCAGACGCAGAGGATTTCACACCAGAACGTCCTGACGCGAGCCGGAAGTACCGGAAGTAGCCGGCCGGCTCTAATGCTAACAGAGCTATGCTAGCGGCTTCTTGTGTACAGATCTTCTCCAATAATGCAGCTTTGTCAGCTCACAAACATTCCACGGGCTTTATATAACAGTAGTATGTGTTCACTGAGGTGCGCCATACGTTTTTTCATATTATTAAACAGCATTTCCACATCGGCGAACACACTCAAAGCAGTTGCATAAGGTCACGGGAGCATGACAACGCATATTTTCACAAGCACAGAGTCCCCCATTGTCAACCCTGGTTTGAGTTCTGGTGAAGCCTGGTGTGGCTTCTGTTTTGGCTGTTTACGAGTATTTTCAGTCTGCTCGCTCAGTCCGCTAATGTCCCCGTGACCACTTTGCTGCTCTCTGATTGGTTGTTGCACGAACGTCCCCAGGAAAGGATGAGCAGAATCCATCTCCTGTGGGCGTCGATTTTTCGCTCCTGCTCCTCCCTTTTCACTTTCCCGCCAAGTCCGTGCGTCATTATTGAACAGTCCGTTCGTGCGTGCCGAGAGGTCCGTGCGTTGTGACGGTCGAACGCGCGCCACCATAGACTTTGCATTGAGACCTGATGACGCATGATCCGGTCTGAAAGCACCATTAGGGCAGCCAGGTGAGAGTTTATAGGAGGATCTTTGTTTACACCCGCATGCGCCCCTCGCTGTGTGGCAAGAAGGCAAGGCAAGGCAAGTTTATTTGTATAGCACAATTCATATACAAGGCAACTCAAAGTGCTGAACAAGATAGCATTAAAATCATGCATAATCACAGAACATTAAAAAGAAAAATATAAAATCCCTCAGTTGTATGCACAGCTAAACAGAACTGTTTTTAACCTGGTTTTAAAGGCACACCGCGGACTTTGTGACCTAAAGAGTTGACACATATGAGTTATTTTATATGAATACTTGGGCCAATATACAGCGCTTGACACTTGCAATGCTCCGAGCGGGGCTGCCCTCTTGAAATACCGCCCATGTAAGTTTCGAGCAGACGGACTGTCTGCCACCAGGTCACGTGACTTGGAAGAAAGACTTGCTTTACGGCTACAGGCGCTGATATACTCATGGAGCTAAGGCTTTTGCTACTCATTTTTCACCTGCTCGACTCCTGGTCATGGCTGAGGCAAGGAAAAATTTTAAACCTTCGGAGGAGGCTAAAAAGAGGAAACGCGAAAGGGATCGTGCTGTAAGCTGCATGTCTGTATGAGCGCTGCTCTTCACCTGGTTCCTGGATGTCATCGACCGCAGAGATGTCATTCCACGCAGCACGAGCTAGACGCAGAACTCCCTCATCCAGGATATAGAAGTCCATGTGTGGTAGATTACTAATGCAGCGGTCTGGAGGCTGACCACAGCAGAGTCTCTCAATATCTGTAGGCATGTCTCTACAGTTTGAACACACACACCAGTGCATGCTGTCTGAATACACACTCAAAAGACACCGGCTGACTGTTTGACTTTTGCGACAGTGCTGAGTTGCTTGTGGCCACTAGGGGCGCTAAACGTGAAAGTTGCAGGTCTAGCGCCCCTAGTGGCCAAGAGTTACACGGTGTGCCTTTAAACATTGTCAGAGAGGAGGCCTGTCTCACATCTTCAGGAAGATTGTTCCAGATTTTAGCAGCATGAATCTGAAAAGCAGCCTCCCCATGTTTAGTTCTGACTCTGGGCACTAACAGGAGTCCAGTCCCTGTGCTCCTCAGAGTCCGGGCTGGTTCATATGGGACTAACATGTCACAAATATATTTTGGTGCGAGGCCATGGAGAGACTTGTAACAAGCAGAGCTGTTTTAAAGTCTATTCTCTGAGCCACAGGAAGCCAATGCAGAGACCTGAGGACCGGACTAATATGGTCGTACTTCCTGGTTCTAGTCAGGACTAATATGGTCGCACTTCCTGGTTCTAGTCAGGACTAATATGGTCGCACTTCCTGGTTCTAGTCAGGACTCGAGCTGCTGCATTTTGGATGTACTGCAGCTGTTTTACAGCCTGTTTGGACAGACCTGTGAGCAGGCCATTGCAGTAGTCTAACCTACTGGAGACAAATGCATGGATAAGAATCTCCAAGTCTGCTTTAGACACTATGTTTTTGATCCTGGCAATGTTTTTTAGATGGTAAAAAGCTGCTGATGTTACTGATTTGATGTGGCTATTAAAATCTAAGTCTGAGTCCAGTATTACCCCTAGATTTCTGACCTTGTATGAAGGTTTTAGGGAGAGAGACTGTAGATGACAGATGACGCTCTCGCTTTGTTTCTGGGGACCAAAGACAATAATTTCAGTTTTGTTTGCGTTTAGCTGAAGGAAGTTATTTTGCATCCACTCACTGATCTGTTGGATACAGTGAAGGAGTGAGTCCACTGGTCCATGTTCTCCTGCAGTCAGTGAGACATAGATCTGAGTGTCGTCTGCATAGTTGTGATAGGACACTTTGTTTCTGCGTATTAACTGACCTAGCGGCAGCATGTAGAGATTGAATAGAAGAGGTCCCAGGATCGACCCCTGTGGTACTCCACAGGTCAGGGCCATATGATCTGAGACACAGTTTCCAATCTCCACAAAGTACTTCCTGTCCTCAAGGTAAGACCTAAACCAACTTAGAGCGATGCCAGCGACGCCAACCCAGTCCTCTAGTCTCTGCAAGAGGATCTCATGGTCGACGGTGTCAAAGGCAGCACTCAGATCTAACAAGATTAAGATTGAGACTTGACCTGCGTCAGTGTTCAGCCGGATATCGTTTGTTACCTTGACGAGAGCAGTCTCAGTGCTGTGGTGGGGTCTAAAGCCGGACTGAAACATATCAAATGAGTTGGTGATTATAAGAAATCTATTTAGCTGTTGGTAGACAACTTTCTCAAGGACTTTCCCCATAAATGGCAGATTTGAGATGGGACGATAGTTGTTAAGTACCGTAGCATCCAGACTGCTCTTTTTTAGCAGGGGCCTGATGACTGCAGTTTTCAGGGCCTTTGGGAATATTCCAGAATCAAGGGACATTTTTGGGGCGTTTTTGATGCCTTGAACCTTGTCATTGGAAAAATTTGCAAACTCATTACATTTATGTTTGGAAGTAAGCTCTAATGGCAGCTGAACAGGGGGGTTCGTTAATCTATTAACTGTTGAAAACAGAACACGCAGATTGTTACTGCAGCCTTCAATCATTTCAGAAAAATACCTTTCTCTCGGACTACGTGGTACCCGGTTAAACTCGCACAACTTATCTTTGAAGATCTCATAATCAACCTGGAGGTTGGACTTGCTCCACTTCCGCTCGGCCCTTCGGCACTCTCTCTTTTGTGCCCTGACCGAGTCTGCTTTAGCCCACGGCGCCTTCTGCTTATTTTTTGCTATTTTAGCCTTCACAGGAGCGATGGTGTCTAGAACATTCAAAACACTAG